TCTTATTAGAAACCACTATTTGATGCTGGGCACCGTGGCTCACACCTGTAACCCCAGCACTTTGGGAGGCCAAGAGATCAAGACCATCCTGGCCAACTTGGTGAAATCCCATCTCTACTAAAAATACAAAACATTAGCTGGGAGTTGGTGGTGCATGCCTGTAATCCGAGCTACTCAGGATACTGAGGCAGGAGAGTCACTTCAACTCAGGAGGTGGAGGTTGCAGTGAGCTAAGATTGTGGCTATTGAACTCCAGCCTGGCAACAGAGCGAGACTCTATCAAAAAAAAAAAGAAAGAAAGAAAAAAAAAAATCACTATTTGAAAGTTCACTCTCTTATATCAGAACATGTGGGTTCATGTTCTTATTTTGGAGGTACTAAAAACAAAGGTTAGGCACATGAGAGTTATGTACTGGCCTTCCACACATTTTTCTCTTACTGATATTCAAATGATCGTGAGTCTTACCAGATCCATGTTTCCATAGCACAGCCAGCTCTCTCCAGGTCAGGAAACATGCAGGTCTTAGCCTCCCAAATGGATGATTTATTCCAGAATTTGTGTAATAGGGATAATATTGTGATATGCATTGGCTGCATTCCCATGCAAATCTCATTGTGAATTCCCACATGTTGTGGGAGGGGCCCTGTGGGAGGTAATTGAATCATGGGGGCAAGTCTTTCCATGCTGTTCTCATGACAGTGAATAAGTCTCACAAGATCTGATGGTTTTAAAAAGAGGAGTTCCTCTGCACAGGCTCTCTTTGCCTGCTGCCATCCATGTAAGATGTGACTTGCTCCTCCTTGCCTTCTGCCATGATTGTGAGGCCTTCCCAGCCATGTGGAACTGTGCGTCCATTAAACCTTTCTCCTTTATAAATGACCTAGTCTCGAATATGTCTTTATTAGCAGCATGAAAATGAATGAATACAGTAATTTCTAGTTTGAGTTGTTTCAGAGTTTGTGTATTAAGAGAGCCAGGCCTGGTGGGTCAACACATAGAGTTTCTTTGGTAATATAGAAGGGGTTCTTCTTCTTTAATCAGGCTAGTGCCCAGGAAGAAGAGGATTTAGTATAGGGGAAGTCTTTGCCAATGAGAAAAGAAGCTAAAGCTCATCCCTTCCATCTTGGAGAAGGGTGGAGAGGCGAGGGATGGAGCGGAAGCAAGAAGATCAAATGCCAGAGTCTTTGTGCCCTTCCAGGCACATGCACCTAAACTGGCAATGCTGAAGAAAGATTCACAGAGATTGGAGAGCTTAAAAAGATGAAGGGGGTGGACCATTCCCCTGGGCGCAGTCAGAGGGGTGATCTAGTTCTGAAGACATAGCCCAGCCTCTGGCTCAGAGACAGGCCATTGTAGACTAGAAAGGAGCGTACAGCTTTGGCTGTGAGTGAGGCCTGATAGATAAGCCTGGGGAGATGCCCTGGGCTCCCATGGACTGTGTGTGCTGTTCAGGAAGCCAGAAGCTCAGGTGGTATAGAGGACACACCAATGCATGACATGAGGATGAAGGCCCAGAGTGTGCATGGCTTGAACTCTGGACTCCAAAGAGGTAAACATGACCCCCTCCAATGGATCAGACAGTGTGGCTGCCCATTCTGTGACAGAAGTCCCCTTATTTTCTCAGCACAAGGGCTCAGGAGCCCCCAGACACTCAGACACCATCTCAAAGAGAAGCAAAGGTAGTGGCAAGAAACCTGAGAGACAAAGATTGTATCAGAAAGGGACTGAGTTATTCGGAAGAGACCATCAAGCTGTCAGAGACCACAATACTATTGATTGGAAAGTTTAAGGTTTGCCCTTCTCCCTCTCCCCTACCTCCAGCCCTTTGTTAGCCAGAGGGATGGAGGATGGTGAAGTTGATTAGATCAGTTATAGAGAAAGAAATAAACCTGCATTTTCTTGCCAATTCCCTTTGAATATTCCCCCTTTAAAAGCATACTCCATGGTGCAAATGCCAGATGTGAAGTTGTGTCAATCCTGAGATTATATTATTAGGATTTAAGTAATGTTCGTGTTTCTCAGTCATTCAGGAGGCCTGGAGCCAAGATATCAGGTGTGCCCACATTCCAGTCCTAGCACTCAGAGGTATGCTCCCAAGAGGTCACAAGAAGATAAAGCCACTAGATAAAATTCCAGATAGATGCTCTCCATATCTACTTATGGGATATTGGTTGTTTTGGTGGTTGCAAAGAGATTAAACTGGAAGGAAACTGCAAGAGAATTTACATACAAAACTCTTTCAAAATGTATTCCTTTTGAAATATTGGTCTTGAATCAACATGTTACTTCCTTCCATGATAGTGGTGGTAACTCTGAAGTCAACAAAGTCATGAAGACCTCTGTTTTTACAACATTTTCCCAGAATTCCAGTCAACCATAGTCAGCCTGGAGGCCAATGGGGGACCCTGGTAACAATGACATTTTTTTTTCTTTTTGGAGATGAAGTTTCGCTCTTATTGCCCAGGCTGGATTGCAATGGCATGATCTTGGCTTGCTGCAACCTCTGCCCACTGGGTTCAAGCGATTCTCCTGCCTCAGCCTCCTGAGTAGCTGGGATTACAGGTGCCCATCACCATGCCTGGCTAATTTTTTATATTTTTGGTAGAGATGGGGTTTCACCATGTTGGCCAGGCTGGTCTCAAACTCCAGACCTCAGGTGATCCACCTGCCTCAGCCTCCCAAAGTGCTGGGATTACAGGCGTGAGCCACCATGCCTGGCCATGATGACACTTTTGATATCCAGTTCATACTTCCAAAGCTGCACTCATTCTTTTTGGGTCAAACTAGGTGCCAATGGTTGGCTGCACTTGACAGTTATTTACTGTGATTATAAGTGGACAGGTGTTTTGACCATCAGCAATACCTGGCAGGTCAGGGGGCCACTTTATTAGTATCTTGCCTCACATAATCCTCACACCAACTCTGGGATATGTGTTCCATTATCCTTATTTCACAGTTTAGAAAACTGAAGTTTAAACTCATTTATATATGTTGGAGGCTGGATATGAACTCAAATGTATTAGTTATCTGTTGCCCAAAAATTAGCAGCTTAAGACAACAAACATGTTACCTTGTAGTTTCTGTGGGCCAGGAACTCAGGGCTTAGCTTGGTTGTGGCTGAGGGCCTTTCATGAGGTTTCAATCAAGAGGTTGGTTGGCTGGGGCTGCAGTCATCTGAAGGCTTGACTAGGGCTATAGGATCTGCTTCTCAGATGGTTCACTCACATGGCTATTGGCTGTAAGCCTCCATTCCCCGCTGGCTGTTGGAAGGAGGGCTTCAGTTCCTTACCACGGGGTTGCTTGAGTGTCCTTGTGACATGGCAGCTGGCTTCCTCTGGAGTGAGTAATATAAGAGAGATAGCAACAAAGAGGCTATAATGTCACTTATGACCTTGTTCTGAAAGTTACACACCATCAGTTCTTCATCAGTTCTTCATACAATACATGAATGAGTATTGTATTCATTCATTCATTCATTCATTCATTCATTCATTCATATGTATACAGCCTACATTCAAGGGGAAGGGATTTAGGCTGCCTTTTTAAGGGAGAAGTGTTGAAAAAAATACATGGACCCATTTAAAACTACCACACATATTGTCTGACTCCAGAATCTGCATTCTGTTCAAAGATGCTATGCTTTTACTTACAGGTAGATATGCAAACTGTCCACTAACTTTTCCTACACACATCCTCCCTCTACATCCCACTCCTCAAGATCTTTCTTCCCCACTGGGGTTTAGGAGGCTCTGTGAAGACTGAGTTCCATTATCTTACCCTCATTAGCATCACCCTTTATTGCTCTGGGTGCTAATGCTATGCCTTCGATTTTACCAAAGATCACAGAAGCGTGAAATCTGCTTCTGCATGTATTGTCAAACTGTCATAAACCCTTAGCTTTATTCATACCACAGTGATCTAGTGATCTGATCATACTTTTCACATCTTTAACAGAAATGTCACAGGAGCTCACTTTGTTCTCTCTGACCTTATGATGTTTCAAATAAAGGTACAGAGCCTACAAGAAACCCCTGAAATATCTCCTGAATCCTTCTACCCACACTTCCATCCTTCCTTCTGCCCACTGCTCCGAGTTCTTTCTAAAACCCAGATATGATCATGTCACATTTTTCCCCAAAGCTTTTAATAACTCCCAATTTCCATAAGATGATTTCAACTCTGACTTTGAGACCCTCCACCACCAAGCCCCTGCCTGCTTCTCCCTTCTCATCTCCTCACCACTCTCCAGGCAAACTGGACTATTTGCTATTCTGGGAATGTGGCTTGTTCTTTTAAACCTCCACCCCTTTGCATGTTCTGTTCATTCTTTCTGGAATGAGCGTCTCTCCTTTGAACAGTTGTCAAATTCCTTCAAAGACCAGTTCAAACACTGCCTTCTCATGAAATTCTTACATACCACTCACACCTTTCTCTGCACGTTAGCCAAGAAAAGATATGCAGATGAAGGTGTCTGCTTGAATCATGGCAGCTACCTGCTGGCTTAACTGGGTTAACACTAATTAAAATCACAGGACAGCTAAATTTAATTTTTGACATTTGATAAATGCCAAACATCAATGGATTTTTCATTAACATACAGAATAGCAGTGTCTTCAAGTCACTGTTATGAAGACACTTTCCTAATTTCTTTGAGGTGGTTAATCTTCTGTGCAGACGTCAGAAGGGATTGCATTTCCTGACTCTCCTGGTTCTTGTCATGTCAGTTGTGTAAAATGACTTGAAAAGACGTGATTACCATGGACCATAACGTTCATTTCACCTTTATTGGGAAATACATAAATGAGATTGTGCAGGTGTTGTGGGCAGGGGTAGGCCACTCTCCTCCCCTGCACCCTTCTCTTCTGAGGGGATCCAAAGGGAGGTGTTCAGCTTGGATTATTGGACCCTATTCCCTGATCGTATTTATGTTACTTCTGAGGTTCCAAAGAGATGTGTGTTGAAATCGTCAGTTTTTTTTTTTTTTTTTTTTTTTTTGCAGCAATAAAGGGTAGTCTTGCTGAAGTCAACTCAATCCCAGTGGCCTTATATTTATGACATTCCAGACTGAAGATAACATGTGGAAAGCGGCTGCAAAGTAAAAAGAAACAAAGAATCCTGAATGTGAAAAACTGCCCTGATGCTGATTCTGGTTGCCCCTCCTTGCCACAGTCCTTCCTGGACTGTGGTTCAGCCAGCCAATGCACATTATATTGGATGCTTCCTCTAAAGAGTCAGGAGGAGTAAGTGGGAATACGGGCTGTACTCAGAAAGTGAGTATTCACACACTGAAAGAAAAGCAATCATGGCATCAGCAGCCCTGTGCAGAGCAAGCCAAGCGGGGACGGCACAAACCTGAGGGTGGCTTGGGGTTATGTTGACAGATGGTGGAGTGAAGGCAGAATGCTTCACCTCCCATTTGGCTCCTGTCACCCGACTGAGAAGACTAATCTTCCCCTGCAAAAGGATAGTGCAATCACTTCATTCAGAGGAAATTGCAGAATAGGATGTGAGAGGAGTTTGGACAAGAGCCTGATCTCTGGGTGTTTTGCTGAAGGAAAGGAGATTTAAAGTTCTGCAGGCAGCAAAGGGTTAGTCCAGTTTTTGTCCAAGAGCAGGGAGTTAGAAGACAGAGTGCTTATTGTTGTTACCGTGTTCATTCATCCATTCTACACATCACCCCCCTCACTTTTTTTTTTTTTTTTTTTTTTTGCCTGTATGATCCCAGGGTGTTGTACTGGGGAGGCTGGCCTGGATTCAAATATCTGCTGCAATGTATTAATATCTGTAGACAAGTCACAACACCTCTCTGTTACGGTCAAAGACCTTTGGATTTCAAGGAACCGAGACTCAGTCAAGATGACCTGAAGAGGAGTTGGTTAAGCAAACAGAATCCACGGTAGGTATTTCCTTCTTTTCTTTTGTTCTTCTGTCTTTGCTACTTGGATCAGAACAGTAGATATTTCAAACAGAGGGGATTTAATATAGGAAGTTGGTTGCATGCATATGGAAAAATTGAAAAAAGCAAAAAGGGAGATACTAAGGTAGCTTGGAGATCAGCAACTGGAGGAGCAGTGACCTCCCCAGGGGCTAGAGAAACAAATGGGAGGAAGTGGCGTTGCCAGAAGCTAGAAACTTGGAGAAGGGTTGCTGAGAGGGTAGATTTACATCTGGCAGCTCCTCTGCTTGCCATCAATTCAAGTCTTGGCCCTTCAGTTACATTTGTGAGCAGAGGTAATTTCAGATAGTATGACAAATAGAGTGATGGGTATAGGGCTATGAGGGTTGAGGTAAGGCCAGGGGGTGGGAGGCTTTTGTGGCAGAGCTTGGAGAGGACTGCTGAATTTGGATCATTCGTGAGTTGACAATAAACTCAAGAAAAGCAAGAGCAGGGCAGGATGAGAATTAGATGACCATAACAATAATCCAAATGTACAGTTCTTGTATTGCCACATAATAAATCACCACACATTTAGCAGCATAAAGCAACATATGTTTATGATCTCACAGTCTCCATGGCTCAGGAGTCTGGACATGGCCCAACTGGGACCTATGCTTCGGGTCTCACAACACTTTGGTCAAGGTGTCAGCTGGGGTCAGGGTATCATCTGAGGTGGGGGACCTCTATCAGCCACAGATCCCACCCACCCTCACATGGAGTGGGAGTGTGCACAGTGGGGGTAGGAATCTGAGAAGCCATGTTAGAATTCCGCCTGTCACACCAGGCAAGAGGTGATTCCGGCTTGAACTCAAAGTGTAGGCATGGAGATGTGAGAAGTGGTTGCATTCAATATGTAATTGTAAAGTCCTGGCTCAGAGGACTGCCTTTGGAAAGGGATGGGACTCCAATGCTAATAGTTTATGTGGGGTGGAGGGGACTTTCAATGAAGAGGGGTCCTTCGGGCAGGGAAGCAGCCTGCCCAAGGGATGCATCGCATCACTTAGGACCCGAGTGCTTCAGATAAGAGGTCCCCAGCCAGGGGCATGGGGCTCCAAAGAATGCACAAAAGCACCTGCCGGTGAAAGTCAGCTCTAATTAACTGCCAGGCTCAGATGGAGGCAAGCCACTCAGCTCAACAAAAGCTGTTCTACTCCTTACTTGTTCCCCCACCACAATTTAAACTCTAGCAGGGTCCAAAGCAGCAGCTAGCAAGTAGAGGGAGGAGCAGAATAGAGCAGAGAGAGACAGAGAGAGTGTGTTTCCCTTCCTCAAAGACAGGGGCTCCAGACACAGGTCTAGGTGTGCAGGGAAGGGAGAAGTCTTTGAGTAGAGACTGAAGCACTAATTAATAGTTTGGGCTGGACACATTCATATGATTGAATCTAATAGTGTTTTATGATTGAAAGTGACCATAGGACTTTCCTTTGCCTGAGAATGCACAGAAAAGTTTAGTCCAAGTTTCCATCCAAGTAAGTGAGGATGACCACTACTGAAAAACATTTTTTTTTTTTGATATGGAGTTCCGCTCTTTTGGTCCAGGCTGGAGTGCAATGGCATGATCTTTGTTCACTGCAACCTCCCTGTCCCGGGTTGAAGTGATTCTCCTGCCTTAGCCTCCAGAGTAGCTGGAATTATAGGCATACACCACCACATCTTGCTAATTTTTGTATTTTTTTTCCTTTTTTTTAAATTGCATTTTAGGTTTTGGGGTACATGTGAAGAACATGCAAGATAGTTACATAGGTACACATGTGGCAGTGTGATTTGCTGCCTTCCTCCCCTTCATAATTTTTGTATTTTTAAGTAAAGACCACAAGGTTTTAAGGAAGCTCTAATTAACTGCCAGGCTCAGGTGGTGGCAAGCCACCCAGCTCAAAAAGAGCTGTTCTACTCCTTACTCCTCCTCCCACCACAGTTTTAACTCTAGCAGGGTCTGAAACAGCAGCTAGCAAGTAGAGAGGAGCAGAGTAGAGCAGAGAGCTGGAAGGTTTTAAGCAGGGGAGTGACAAGGTCTCACTATGCAGATCATGGGAATTTGAGACCAGCCATGGCCAACATGGCAAACCTTGTCTCTCCTAAAAATTCAAAAATTAGTCAGGCATGGTGGCACATGCCTGTAATACCAGCCACTCAGGAGGCTGAGGCACGAGAATTGCTTGAACCCAGGAAGTGGAGGTTGCAGTGAGCTGAGATCATGCAATGGCACTCCAACCCGGACAACAGAGTGAGACTTTGTCGCAAAAAAAAACCCCCAAAATTAAAATTACATTAAAAAAGAAGACTCCTAGGTGTCTGGCCTAGGCAACTGGATGAATGGTGGCCCAGTTTACTGAGATGAAGATTGAAATAGGAGAAGGTTGGCGGAGTAGCTAAAAGCCAGAGTTGAGTTTTTCACATGAGATGCCTATCAGATGAAGATGCCAAGGACACAGTTACATCCCTGAGTCTGTGCTCAGAGGGAGCCCAAGCAGGAGAGAGGACATGGGAGGGGGACATGAAGATGCTTTATATACCCAGGAACATGGATGATGTCACAGGAGACAGAGAAGAGACAAGGAAACAGGACTGACCCTCAGCAGGACTGAACCTGTAGGAATCCGGTTTCTCTTTGTAAATATTTATCCTCTCTCTCTCTTTCTTTCTTTCTTCTTTCTTGATGGAGTTTTGCTCTTGTTGCTCAGGCTGGAGTGCAATGGCACAATCTCAGCTCACTGCAACCTCTGCCTCCTGGGTTCAAGTGATTCATCTGCCTCAGCCTCCCAACTAGCTGGGATTACATGCATGTGCCACCACACCCAGCTAATTTTGTATTTTTAGTAGAGATGGTGTTTCTTCATGTTGTTCAGGCTGGTCTCGAACCCCCAACCTCAGGTGATCCTTTTGCCTTGGCCTCCTAAAGTGGTGGGATTACAGGCGTGAGCCACCACACCCGGCCTCATTTTCTTACATATAAGCATCTTTGAACCATCTGGAACTATTTTTGTTTTGAGAGGTAAGAATCCAGCTTCTCTTTGTAAATATTTATTGAATGAATAATGAGACATTCTGCAGCCCTAAGTAAAGTTGATGGCCTCCTAAGGGATTAGATTAAATGGTTAATAAAGTTATTTGTTCACTCTACAAATATTTCTAAACCACATGCCAGCATGGCAGAATGCAGTGGTGAATAATATCAGAGTTTCCACCCTGTGGCTATTACAGTTGATGGGACAGGCAGACACTGGCCAGATATCACAAATGGATGTGAAATTTACAAATGAGATACATGCCCTGGATGAGCATATAATTAAGGAGTCCACTCTGGCCTGGGAGGCCAAGAAGGTGTTGCTGGTTGAAGAAGTTCCTTAGGAAGTGCCCTGAGGACCAGCACCTGTGAGAGGTTGAAGCTACCAGGCCTGGCTAGACGGAGAAACTGCAGTGCAGTTGCAACAAAGGCCTTAGCCATTCCCACAGGGAGCTCTGGAGGGTAGATGACCCTTCAAATTTGCACTGAATGGAGGCAAGCGGTCTGGGATTTTATTGCCCACCGCATATCCCTGCTCCAATGGACTAGGCAGTGGGTATAGGCTCCGTCAGCCAGGACATTTCCAGAGTGAGAATCGTCTGTGAGCATCCATCTCCAAGTCTCCTGGCAGTCAGGAAGTGAGGGCCCCGGTCCTGAAGTGGACATCTGGGTGGCAGGTCACAGCGTCCACTGCAGAAGCCTTCCGTAAAGAAGTTGGGGAGACCTTTAGGACAGTACTGATGGGTAAGTGGAAGTTAACTAGGCTGGGAGAACAAACACTTTTCCTAGGAGCAACCACTTTCTCTACCACAATGCATGGCAGACTCAGGCAGGAAAGGAGGCAGGGAGAGTAATTAGGAGGCTGCTAAAGGAATTTCATACAGTAAAATCTGGATACGAGCATATAAAAAATCAGACAGAAAGGGGAAGTCTCCTGATGTCCCAGCCCTCAGAGACAACAGCTATTACAGTTTTTTTGTTTTTGGTTTTTGAGATGGAGGCTCGCTCTGTCACCCAGGCTGAAGGGCAGTGGCAAGATCTTGGCTCACTGCAACCTCCACCTCCCAGGTTCAAGCAATTCTCCTGCTTCAGCCCCGTGAATAGCCGGGGTTACAGGTGCTTGCCAACTCACCCTGATAATTTTTTTTTAAGTAGGGACGAGGTATCGCCGTGTTGGCCAGGCTGGTCTCAAACTCCTGACCTCAAGCGATCTTCCTGCCTTGGCCTCCGAAAGTGCTGGGATGACAGGCATGAGCCAACGTGCCCAGCCTACTGCATTTCTTTTCCATTTTTCTTCTCTGCACATTTTATTTAGAAGTGAGGCTTTTATCGTAGATGTGATTTGGTTTTCTGCTTTTTTCTACACGTTTTTCTATACCTTTACTGTTTCTAGTCACAAAAGCAATGCCTGCCAATTACACAAACTCAGAAAGTACAAATTCTAATAAAGAAATAAGCAATACTTCCTACCAGTTGCAGTATCTCACGCCTGTAATCTGGCATCCCACAGGTTCCAGAGCTCACGTGTCCATGGGCCAGCTCAGTGCCTGGCATGCTGAGAATATTTGGGAAATGCCAGCTATGCACTGTCACCTCAGGAGGGTCTCTTCTCATTTCCAAAGCTGTCTTCTGCTTAGTGAAATGCACAAAGACACTGGGCAAGTATGTATTGAGCTTCTCATCTCCCAGGCACCAGAGACATATCCATAGACTGTGTTCCCTGCCCTTGTGCTGCACTCCCCTTGAGATAACGATGGTGACATGCAAGGAGCTAAAATGTCCTGAACTGTGAGGAGACAAGCACAGGCTGAAGGATGGAGGTGGCAGGGTTGGAGCAGGTGGGGTGGCCAGGATGTCTGGAGCCCAGGGCTGGGGCTAGACCCTGCACTGCTCTGCTTGGGGACCTCACTGGGCTCTGAGTCATGAGGGCAGATGGTGGCCAGGGTGAGGGGGCACAGTGCAGCCCTTTCCCCTCTGCTGAAGACGCCACCTTCATGGGGTGGGAGCACAGGCTTTGGGGACTTGAGAGCCATCCTTCTCCCAGGGGTGGCTGTTTCTGGAAACAAAAATCCAGGGCTTATGCTCCTGAGACTGGGGAGCCCTGGGGCTGCACGTCCTCCCCGTGGTCTTTGCATTGGGCAGTGAAGGCATCTTCCTGCTGAGTCTGAGAGAGAAAGAAGTGGGGTCACTCAGGGGTCAGCTTTCATCTCACTTAGTCCTCACATTGGCCCTGCGAGGTAAGGACTGCCAGTGGCCCAATTTACAGATGAGGACACTGAGGCTCAGAGAAGTTACATGGTTTGCCCAAAGGGACACAGCTACTGAGTGGCTGAGTGGGATTAGACCCAGGTCTTTCTGAGACAGCCCAAGCTGTTGATGGAATGCTCTGGCTCATGGATGAGCAGGTAAAGTGGAGCAAACACTTTAGAATGATTTGGCAATATTCACCAAAGCCAGACGTTTGCCTCCCATGAGCTAGCGATGTCCTCCCTGCGCACATACCTTACACAGATGTGTCTATATCTTCACTAAAATACAAGTAAAACAACCCTCATAGCAGCACAATTTGTAATAGCCTCAAACTCGAAACTTCCCAAATATCCATCACAGAAGAACAGATTAAAAACCATGGTACATTCAAGACTGGAATACGATATAGCAAAGAAAATGAAGACATTACGCCAACGCACGCAAATGAATCTCACACACCTCATGTATGAGTGATAGAAGTTAAACCTATAATAGATTAAAAACAAACAAACAAACACACAAACAAAAAGAACAGATAATGTGTGATTCCATTTATATGAAGTTATCACCAGGCAAACTCGTCTCAGTAATAGAGTTTACCTGGGGCTGAGGCGCAGGGATTTGAGCCTTCTCCGGGGCCTGAAATATATGTAGGGAATCAGTTTCACCATCTCCCACAGATATCAAAATCCACAGATGCTCAAGTCCTGATATAAAATGGTGCAGTATTTGCATATAAGCTAAGTACATCTTCTCGGATACTTTAAATCATCTCTAGATTACTTATGCAATCACATGTCAGATAACGACACTTCAGTCCATGCCAGAATACATATAGGATGGTGGTCCCATAAGGTTACAATGGAGCTGCGCTATACAGGTGTACAATCTCTAAAAACTGATATTTAAGAAGAAATGGGGTGGCCAGGTGCGGTGGCTCATGCCTGTAATCCCAGCACTTTGGGAGGCTGAGGTGGGTGGATCACGAGGGTCAGGAGATTGAGACCATATTGGCTAACACAGTGAAACCCTGTCTCTACTAAAAATACAAAAAATTAGCCAGGCATGGTGGCATTCACCTATAGTCTCAGCTACTCAGGAGGCCGAGGCAGAAGAATTGCTTGAATCTGGGAGGCAGAGGTTGCAGTGAGCTGAGATTATACCACTGCACTCCAATCTGGGTGACAGAGCAAGACTGTCTTCAAAAAAAAAAGTAGAGATGGGGTCTTGTTATGTTGCCCAGACTAGTCTAGAACTCCTGGGGTCAAGTGATCATCCCAACTTGGCTTCCCAGAGTGCTGGGATTATAGGCATGAACCTCCACACCTGGCCAGGTGTACCATTTTTGTTGTTTATACTGTATTTTTAGGATCCTTCTCTGTTTGTACACAGATAGCCACCATTATGTTCCCATCGTCTGCAGTACTCAGTACAGTAACATGCTGCGGAGGCGTGGGGCCCAGGAGCAATCAGCTCTACCCTTCAGCCCAGGTGTGTGTTTGGTTGGACCATCTGGAGGAAGCCGAGGAGACATGAGCTGAAGGCACAGGGTGAGTCCGAGGTGGGATCTTGGGACAGGTGTGAGAAGTTGGGCAAAAACGGTGAAATCTGAATAAATGTCACCATATTTGTATAATTACATTAATAACCTTAGATAATGGTTCACATTATCATTTAGTTAATAGGATTGCACCCACATTAACTTCCTTTTTTTTTTTAAATATAAAGTCTCCCTCTGTCACCTAGGCTGGTGTGCAGTCTGTGATTGATCATAGCTCACTGCTTCCTGGAACTCAGGCTCAGACAATCTTCCCACCTCAGCCACCTGACTAGCTGGGACTATAGGCACATGCCACCATGCCTGGCTAATTTCTTTTACTTTTCTCTAGAGACAGGGCCTACATATGTTGCCCAGGCTGGTCTCAAACTCCTGCCTTCAAGTGAACCTGAACCTCCTGCTTCACCTCCCAAATTGCTGGGATTACAGGCTTGAGCCACCACACCGGCCTAAATTTCTTATTTTTGACAAACGTGCCATGGTAATGCAAAATGTCATTATTCGGGGCAGCTGGGTGGAAGATATACGTGCAAAATCTTTTCAACAGTAAGCGTTTACTTTACAACATGAAGGTGGTTATTCTTCCGTGGGTATAAAGTTCAATGGTAGGCTCAGGGGGTCTTCAGAAGTCAGAACACTGGTTTCAGGGCTCAGGGCACAGGGAGGGGCTGGGCATGGCTGGCTTTGTGATCTGGGGGCTGGTGAATGTTTTTTGAGCTGTGCGCTTGCCGGGGATGGAAGTCATATCTCAGTAAATGCTCAGAAGTTCACCAAAAAGTAAAACGAGGATGGGAAGCTCGTTTGGGACCTTGGGTGCTTATCCAGCCATGAGCCCTGGCCCAGATACTTCTAGAAGCCTGGAGGGAACCGAGAACATTCCAAGTAGAAGTGGCAGAGCCAAGGCTCTGAAGTGGGAGCGCACTGCTGCTCGTCCATCGCTGTGAATGGGGTGTCCTGGTGGGAATCAGTGTCGTGTGCACTGCAGCGCCGGCAAGTCCATGTCCACATTGTGGCTCAGTGCAGCGAAAGCCAGTCTCTGCCCCTCTGCAGGGTGGTCAGCCTGCCAGCAGGTGGCAGCTGGTCCTCCTGGGAAATGGTGCCAACCCAGGGACTGAGTGCGAGTCTCTCATCAGCGGGAGTGTCAGCCTGGTGAGCCTTGGTAAGGGTAGGTGCAGGATGCTGAGCCTCTTCCGTCCCATGCCTGTCTCAAGGCCACTTCTTCCATGGGCCCATCCAGCAAATGAGGTGGCGGGGAAAGAAGCCGGCTTCACCCACAGGGCGTGCTGTTTTGCTCACCTCAGGACCAAGAGCATCTGCTATACTAATTCTCTTTGGTGGGAGTACTGGGAAAGCCTGCATGGCAGCTGGAAGGCACCTGGTGGTGGCGAAGCTGCAGCAGTGGCTGCAAGGCTTTGGGACTGGCCCGGCTTCTGTGACAGTGGCAGAGCTCTCCAGTGCCATCACTTCAGTTGAGGTGATTTTGTCTTTCAGAGAACATTCGACAGTCTCTGGAGATGTTTTTGATTGTCACAGCTTGGAAGGTGCTGCTGGCATCTAGTGGGTGGAGACTGGGATGCTGCTAACCCTTGCACTATGCACAGGACAGTCCCCAAAGCAAAGAATGATTCTGCCCAAACTTCAATAGTGCTGCTGTTGAGAAACTGATTCCAGTGGAAGAGACAGGCACATAAACACATGAAAGAGAATGCAGAGGGGAATTACCTGGCAAGTGGAAAGTGAGCTTGGTAGGGAGAGGGCAAGGTGGGGGACCCACAGTTACTGACTCACCAGTTCTACTGGGCACTGTCATCAGTGGGGAAATATTTTGATTATGTGTATTTGTGCAAGGTATTATATGAAATCTTTAAAATGGCACTGGAAAGGATAGCTATTATCTCAACCTATAAATGTACAAATCAGAGTTTTGAGTGTTTAAATAACATACCTGAGGTCAGATAGAAAGTTGTGAGCTGGGGCCAGGCATGATGACTCATGGGTGTAATCCCAGCACTTGGGGAGATGGAGGCAGGAGGATCACTTGAGCCTGGTAGTGGGCAAAGAAGTGAGACCTTCTCTCTAAAAATAAAGTTGTAAGCTGGGACTGATGTTACCATTTGAAATATGTTGGGTCAAAGAATTTGCATGATCAATAGACAAATTTTGAGTCCCAGAGGAATAAGGAAATGAGAAAGTTGAAAGTGCTGAAAAGAGAAGCCCGTGAGCTCCATCTCCATGGTGGGGTTTGGGCTAGCTAGGAAAGGGAAGCGGGAAGCAGAGAGAGCAGCTGACAGATTGGGAGGAGATGTGAAAAGTTCAAGACTCTGGACATCTTGAATGAGATACATGCATTAAAAAAAAAAAACAAACAATGATTACAAAAACGAGTCTGGATACCTTGATGAGTTCCTAAGTAGAAATCACAGAGAAAAGCAACTCCGTGGGCCAAACGTGGAGTATTACAATGGAAGACTTCTAGTATGGAGCAGCACAGTTACGGGTGTGGACAAGTGAATGTCTTGGAGTAGAGAGCAGAGAACACTGTTGCGTGGAATATGGCCACATCATACCTTGGCGTGATCTCAGGTGTTGGAGATCACCAACACCTGAGAGGTTGGCTGTAGATACTCGGTGAATGTGGGAGAAGGGCCTAGAGGTCTATGGATGATAGAAACTGAGAAATAGAATGTAGAATGTCAACTTGTGAGAGGAAGGGTTTGGAGTAACAGGAGAGCAGTCATTGAGTGTGTGAGGAGCAAGGAGAACTTGGAAATCTTCCTTCTCCTAGAGCAGTCTCTATTTGAAAAGCCATCACGGAGGTAGTTTATTCAGAAAATAGTTTTACTTGCTAAGATTAGGATGTGATTATAAAAGAAACATGGAGAGAATGTTTTCTAGTAGAAAGAAGTTTCCCGGGGAATGAGAGGAACCTAGAAAGGTTCAACAGCAGTGTCACGAGTTCATAGAGAACAGGAAGCAAGCTGGGTATGTGCGTTTAGAGGTAGTGTACATTTTCAGCATTATAAATACATAGAGATGAGTGGCAATAGTCACCTTGTTCCATAGGTTTTTGGTGTCTTAACTAGTTATAGATCTCTACCACTAAAGGAATTGCCTGTTGAACGTTGTTAGGAAAAAGAGTACTGAAGGCAAACTGCCTGGGTTTGAATTTTATTCTGTTCCTTTCAACCTGCATGGGTTCAAATCCTAGATCTGCTTATTAAGTTCTTTTAAGTTGATGATCTTTGAAGAAATGTCTTAGCTTCTGTTTGCCCATGTAAATGGACACAATAGTTGTTATCTTGTGAAAGAAGTTAATTCATGTAATTGACCAGCATTTACCAAGAAGCATCAGTGTGCAATTTTAGTCATTGGTAATTTACCAGCTGGACTGTGAGAGGGGTGTGTGTGTGTGTGTATAGCACTGCAGAAAGGAAAAGACAGTTTTTATAACTTAGAGGCAGCTTTCTCTGATTTGTGTCAAGAGGGGAGAAGGAATTTGGAGGATATGAATTCTATTTAATACTAAGCTGTCTTCCTCAAAGCCAGAGGTAGATAGAATGTGTAATAACTTATAGAATTTCTCGACTTAATCTGATGTTTAAAAAATTATTTTCATTTTTTCAGGTTGAGGCTGACCTAAAGTTTATCCGTTGGGCTGGAGTGCAGTGGTGCAGTGTCGGCTCACTGCAACCTTTGTCTCCTGGGTTCAAGCAAATCTTGTGCCTCGGCCTCCCAAGAAGCTGGGATTATAGGTGTACGCTACCACACCTGGCTAATTCTTGTATTAGTAGAGATGGGATTTCACTATGTTGGCTGGGCAGGTCTCTAACTCCTGACTTCAGGTAATCCACCCTCTTTGGCCTCCCAAAGCTGGGATTACAGGCGTGAGCCACCATGCTCAGCCAGAGTCCAAACTTTTCTATTAGAAAATGTAGGTTCTGTCCTAGAAGGGAAAATGTAAGATTAAAAGTTGACCTTTATAGAATCATGAATTTTGTCTATGTAGGTTTTCAACTTTTATTTAAGAATAATTGTTTAATGTTGGAAGGATAGTTAATGTTGGAATAAAAAGATGGTCAGGCTATTATAAAAATGCATTAGCTTTTGCTTTACTTATTTATATTCTTTTGCTTTTGTGGGACCTATCCCTTTTCCCTCTCCCTAATGGCCATACATTTCACAGTGCTGTCTCAATGTTTTATATATGAAATTTTATTTCATAATTAATAAACTCCCATGCCATTCCTTGGAACCATTTTCTTGTTTAATTTTAGTCTGTGACCATTCTGTTGATTTTTAGAGGCTCCCCAGTTAATTTCTGTGGGATTTTTACTCATATTTTGAATATAAAATGTCTGAGAAAACAAAATAAAAGTCAAACATTCCTGAGAGCATTTAGAATTATTGAAGTGCACCTGCTAATTGTTACATATATTTTTGTCACATATTTTAAATAATAAAGAACTTTAGCTTATTTTCCTTTAAAAATTATTGCTCCTAGATAATTTTTTTTTAATTTTGGTTTTGTTTTAAGAAAGGGGACCACCACAGGTGGTCCTGGCAGAATTTGCCACAGGAAAGGACAGGAAGGAGGCTACAGAGAACAGCCTTGTGGCTTATGAAGCTGCTGGTGATATTGCAATGGCAGAACTTCCACCAGCACATCCTGTTCGCTTCAGTCTTGCTCTCAATTTTTCCGTATTCTGCTATGAAATTCTGACTTGCCCTGACCATGCCTAGAGGTAAGTTGTGGTGAACAACGAAAGCTCTCGGTGTGAGAGTGAAGAAGGATAGGTATACTGCTTTTGTAGACTTGGCCATGGGGTAACCCTTTTGACGCTTACTGAAACTGCTTTGGACAGTAGTAAAACGATCTCAGTCCACTAGCGCAGCAGTCAGGATAATTATTTTGATGTGGGATATTTTTGTTGTTGGTAGATTGAAAAGAAATTTAACGAGTTAAAGTGAGTGGAGGAAGGAAATGAGAGGAATTAGAATTATCTTAATTTTTGTATATTAGTTTTCATTATGGGCATGTTTTTAATAGTTATTAAAACATGCCAAACATCATTTTGTATTTTCTTTTTCGGCATAAACAGGTCTCAGTCTTACTGGTGTGTATTAAATGGTTCCCCTATTTATACTTCAGCTTGTTCCCTGGTTGTTATAATATAGGTACACATTGTAAGGAGTACTTATGCTTTCGGTCCTGAGGGGGCAGGGCTGAGCCCGCGACGCCCTCCCTTCACTGTCTGTCCTGTTCTCCCGTTGTCAGCCCGCCCCACCACCATGATGGAACAGGCCACCTTCCTCGCCAAGATCTTCTTGGCCTGGGCATCGCTGCCACCTTCTCGAAGATGGCTGTGGCCCTGATTCAGCGGCTCAAGCTGCTGCGGCAGGTCCAGGAAGCAGATTGCTGGCCCCAGGCAGTGCAAGGGCGTCGTGGACTGCATGGTCCGCATCCCCGGGGGCTGCCGACGTGGGAAGTCGGGCCCTGAACGTGCGTTCCGAGGCCTGGGAGACAGCCTGGCAAAGGTCACAAAGCCCCAGGTATCCGGGGCCTGCACTGGGTTCCAGTGTCTCAGTGTCTCTGCACAGGGCATCATCGTCTACCATGTGCACCCTATGGCCAAGGGATGCTCCCCGACCCCAAGAACACGCACATCCCGGTGAGCTGGATGATTGCAGAGACGGTGGCCATGGCCAGCGTGGTCTCCTACCCCTTCCACAGGGGCAGCGGTGGAGCACGATGAGTCGGGGCGCAAAGGAGCTGACATCAAGTACATGGGCACCATGGTCTGTTGGAGGAAGGTCTTCAGAGATGAGGGGAGCGAGGCCTTCTCAAGGACCCTTGAGAAGGTCCAATGCCCTCTGGGGCATGGGGGGCGCCTTCCTGCTGGTCCTGTGCGAGGAACTGAAGCTCATCTAAGGGTCAGTCTCCCCCCGCACACACCGAGGGAACCAAGAGAACCACGGAGAATCCTCAACCGTGCGGAACATCGACCTTAGAGAAATTCCGGTCGTCTTTTTCCCAGCTGGATCCTGCCTGTAGACAGCCAAGGAAGGCTCTAGAAAAGGGGCGCGTTGTGATCCAACCATCAGCACCGATTTCAGGTCTTGATCACTGCGGGAAGGGAACCATAGCGTCCTTGCGGGCCGCGGGTGAGGCGTTCCAATGCTCAGACCTAAAGTCCAGATGCTTGCAGGACCCAAGTCGTGCTTAGGTATTTATTCAAAACAAAAGAATCGTGTTTCCCATTTGTACTTAAGTACAGGCTCCTCTGCACAGCCAGGTACTCGCAATTCTGTTCTATGTTGGGCATCCTGCTGCGAAACAATAAACAAGGGACGCAGAGGGGAAGAAAAGGAAATCCTTACATGTACATAACGTTTTACTTCTAAAAAGCTGTGATAAAATACATGTAACATAAAAGTTATCATCATAACCATTTTGAAGCATACAATTCAGTGGCACCAAGTACATTGACAATGTTGTGTCATCACCACCACTATTTAGTTGAAAACTTTTTTCTTTACCCCACATGAAACAACATAGTCATTAAACAGTACCTCTTCATTTCCCCTCTCCCCAGCTGCTGGGAGCCTCTGTTTTACTTTGTCCCTATGAATTTGCCCATTCTAGATACCTCATGTAAGCGGGATCATATGATACTTGTCCTTTTGTGCCTGCTTTTATTTCACTTAGCATGATGTTTTCATCCATATTGAAGCATGTATCAGCGCTGCAGTCCTTTCTGTGACTGAATAATAATTTGTTTTATGTATTTTGCACACACTGTTTAGCCATTGAACTTCTGATAGAGAGTGAATTTCTTTCTCCCTTTTTCTTGCTGTGAGTAATGCTGCTGTAGTAAATATTTGCCCAGACTGGAGTGCAGGGGTGCAGTCTCAGCTCACTGCAACCTCTGCCTCCCAGGTTCAAGCAATTCTCCTGTCTCAGCCTTCTAAGTAGCTGGGACTACAGGCACATACCACCAGGCCTGGCTAGTTTTTTTTGTTTTTGTTTGTTTGTTTTGTATTTTTAATAGAGACAGGGTTTTACCATGTTGGCAGGCTTGTCTCGAACTCCTAACCTCAAGCAATCCACCCACCTCTGCCTCCCAAAGTACAGATTACAGGTGTAAGCTAATGTGCCTGGCCTTGAGTCCTTGTTTTCAACTCCACCTAGGAGTGGAATTGGGACAGATAATTCTGTGTGTAACTTGTTTTTGTTGTTGTTGCTGTTGTTTTTCAGACAAGCCCCAAGTCTGTGCTCTTACCACTGTGCCTAATGATAAAATGTTCAGCCCAGTGCCTGGAACAAAGTAAATGATCAATAAAATATTTCCTTCCGTATCTCCTTTTTCTCCTAGAGTCTCGTAGTAGAACATGGTTCTCTGACCCAGTGAGTCTTGCCAGGAGTGACCACATTCCAGCAGAGATGCTTCCTCTGGCAACACCCACCCAATCTTAGGTGAGGCTGCATTTTCTTGAGTGTGGGGAGAAGATTAGCCCAAGCCAAACAGTACTGCTTCTTTACCTCAGCATTATTGAACTAGAAAAGCATTTGCCAAGATGTACTTGGTCTCTGGCTGCCCCTGAGGCTCAAGAAGGAAGTGAAGGCTCATCCAGGCATTCACATCAGACGTCGGAGGAAAGCTGAGTTCCAGGTCCTTCTTGTGGGGTTGGGCAATGACGATCCCCCAAAGGGGGCTCAGTTGCTTTTAGCCTACATAGGAATTTCAAACAAAGGATTTTCTTCGTCCTCTTCCTATAGGGTTCACTGAGATGGGATGACATTTAATAACAGCAGATGGGAGTTAGGGTCTGAAACGATGCTCATGAGCAGGTGCGACCTACTAGGGTGGCTCAGAGTGTCTTTCTTTTGAGTGCTCACTCTCTGGACCTTTCTCTGTTGCCTTGAATTTGGCTTTCAGGGGCTTGGTGAGGACAATGTGCCAAGTGGATGAATTGGATGGCCCCAGGAGGCGGGCACTCTCTGCCACTCCAACTGGCCACCATATTCCCAGCAGTGACAAACCAGCTCTTAGCAGGTCGCCTCCCGAAGCTTCTGCATATGCCTTTAGCCTAGACACCATGCATGTAAGGCATTAACAAATTTACTTTTTCATTTGCTTATTTATCTGCACGTCTCTCCATCTATTTGTACATCTCTTTGCTGGGGGCAATATAGTGTCATGGTTTGGGTTATGGCCTTGGGGACTGTATTGTCTGGGTTCTGATCCTGCCTTTGCCACCTTTTTGCTAGTTATCTTCACCTTTCTGTACCTCAGATGGCTCATCTATGAAGTGGGGAAATACAGTACTAACACATGCCTGGTAGAGTTTTTATGAGAATTAAGTAAATTAATATGTAAAGCACTTGCCCTGGCACCTGGTGAAGTACTCCACACACGGTACAATTTGGTTGCTGTCGCTGTTGTTAGTGTGTGTTGGGGTCTGTGTGAGTGTTGGGGGAAGCATAGCAGATGGTCTTCATATGTTTTAAGCAAAGGTGCTAAGAAAACACAAAGTTTGCTTTTCTATTTCTGGGTGGCTTAAATTCCCAAGAAAAACAAGATGCTGCCTTCTTGGCTGTTTTTTTTTTTTTTTTTTTTTTTTTTTTTCTGAGATAGAGTCTTGCTCTGTTGCCCAAGGCTTGAGTGCAGTGACATGCTCACTGCAGCCTCTGCCTTCTGGGTTCAAGTGATTCTCCTGCCTCAGCCTCCCAAGTAGCTGGATTACAGGCACACATTACCACACCCAGCTAATTTTTAAATTTTATTTTAGTTTCTGAGATGGAGTCTTGCTCTGTCTCCAGGCTAGAGTGCAATGGCGTGATCTCGGCTCACTGCAACCTCCGTTTCCTGGGTTCAAGTGATTCTCCTGCTTCAGCCTCCCAAGTAGCTGGGACTACAGTCATGCGCCACCATGCCTAGCTAATTTTTGTGTTTTTAGTAGAGACGGGGTTTCACCATGTCCGCCAGGCTGGTCTCAGTCTCTCAACCTCATCGACTGCCCATCTCAGCCTCCCAAAGTGCTGGGATTACAGGCCTGAGCCACTGTGCCCAGCTACTTTTGTACTTTTTTTTTAGTAGAGATGGGGTTTCTCCATGTTGGCCAGTTTGGTCTCAAAACTCCTGACCTCAGGTGATCTTCCTGCCTCGGCCTCCCAAAGTGCTGGGATTACAAGTGTGAGCCACTGCACCTGGTTGAGGCTGTTTTAAGATGGGTTAATAATGTGTCACATGCCAGAGCAGTGTGTTCATAAACATTGTATCATTTATTTAATCCCCCAGATTCCTTTGAGGTAAGCCAGGAATATTCTCATTTCAGAGAGGAAGAGAGAGCTGTTACTTTTCTAAATTTTCCTGGCTGAAAGTGGGAATCACTCCCAGATTTGTCTGGTTTGCA